ACCAATGACGCGATCGAGGACGAAACTAGTGAAAGAGGCGTTGGGATTGCTCGTCAAGGCAACCGTTGATAGAACCATGTTTGGGATTCAAAATGGAGCAAGTTTCATGTTGGGATCGAAGGCTGAAGAAGCTTGGATCAATATGTCAAAAGTGGACAAAAACGGAGCCAAAGTGAAGAACCATACGATTGCATAGTTTTCCATCTCTTGCGGTCACACAAATAGGGACAGGGCGACAATCGGCTAAACTTGATTGTTTCATACGGCTGCATGGAATTGAATCATGCATCCGCATGGGTCTATTTCAAGGAAGATTTTTCCAAATTTCACGAATTTTCCCTTTTTTGATAGAATTTATTTCTTTTCATAATTTTAGCATATTTTGGAGATTATGCACATTTTTACCATATCTTAGGGTTTTAGTATAAATACTCATTATTATTCATTGTATTGCAACTTTTGGCATTATTATTATTGAGAGGCTTTTATTGCTTTCTTCCTGTGTTCTTCATAACGAGAGACATTATACCGATTGTACTTACTCACCGTTTGATTCGTCCAATAATTAATTCTCTTGTTCAAGAAATAGAATACAAAAGGGTTTATGGAAATCAGTCAAGTATGGAGGTGGTGATTACTATTAATTGTCTAAAATATCCTATGTTTGAAAACTAATAAAAATAAAAACAAAAATCACATCGAAAATATAATAAAAGAAATTAAATCGTGATCCATCACTATAGAAGTTTCCTTGCCTTCATGATCTAACACAATAGAAGATGATTCAATTTTTTTACACCCCTCCCCTCATGATATGAGGCCCAAGGCAAAATTGGCTTTGCCACCAACCAAGCCATGAACCAGTCAACTACTCACTGAAATTAAAAAAATAAAAATAAAAAATTGACAATATGCCGCCCGTGTTCAAAAACCCCCCGGTTATATTGAATCTTACGAGGAAATTTGGGGGATGAAATTCGAGTTGGTAATTCTCAATAACTCTAAAAAAAAATTTATCAAACTCGAATAGTTTGTCATGCAGGTGATTTAACAACAAAGTGATACTCATTCTCAATAAAATTTGGATTGGTTTAAGTTAAACAAATTAAATAAGAAATTTTTAGAAATTGGGAATTCTAGATTCGTGATTTAAGTAACTCAAAGAATATAAAATAGGAATCATGCTATATGTACAATATTTGTTGACAATACTGGTTGATAACATCCTACTTGACATCATTATATTCATTCATTTTAAAAAACTGTTTTCCACATCACATGTTTGAATTTTGACAACGCATGATTATCAACCATGTCTATACACTTAACTTTATTCATAAAAGAATAACCATGTTATGTCTTGATCACACTTGCGTAATCTTGTCTCGAACTTCGAAATTTCATTTCTTCAGTACCTAAATTATGTGTTGGACGCTACCATAAATAAATCAGTATTTTAGCATTTATCCAAAACAACCTAATTTAGCTCTGCTTTGACTCTCTCTATTTTAAA